GCTCCCTGCCGAGCCCCGTCGAGATGCGCCGCCATGAGAGCTCTCCCACGCCGGAACCTACCTCCAGGAGCACGGTCGCCAACCACCGCGGCCAGATCCGGGGTCCCCGTGCCCGGATCCGTCCGTTCCCGGCCGTCCCGGCCTCCTCGCGCCATCCTGCCGCCTCGCCGGAGTCTTCCAGCGCCGCCGCCGCCATGGATCGGGAGGAGCCCGATCCAGCCGCTCCCTCCCCTGCTCCGTTGACCCTTCGCGGGCCCCGCCTTCGGCCCATCTCCAGCCGGCCTCATTCGGCCTGCCTCCTCCTCCTTCGTGGGCCGGCCCAGCTTCCCCGGCCAGCGCAGCGTCAAGGCCAGCCTGCCGGCCTCTGTCCTCTCCACCGAGTGGGCCAAGCCCACTGGGTGAGGCCACACCCCCAGCGCCCCACCTTATTTTTTTTCCTTCCTGCTGTTGGGCTTACCCCAGATTTGGCCCGATATGTTTTTTTCGGGTCCTGCGAATTTGTCTATTATTCCAGAGTTTGCCAGTTTTGCAGTTTAGTCCCCCTAGTTCATGCATTTAATAACTCACTAACCGTTCATCTGATTAAAATGTTTTATATATGAAACTTACTCAGAATTTTGTGTAGATTAATAATATCCAACTTTCATCTATGTTTAAAATGTTTAAAATGTTGTTTGCATTAATTTGCTCCTATGCCATGTTAAAATGATTTAATTCATAACTAAATAACCGTAACTCGGAATTTAATAAATTTTATATGTAAATGGGGTAGAAAAATGCCTAGTTTAACATGGTGACCTTTATTTGCATGTTAAACAACTCTAAAATAATGTTTAGGGCAGAACAGTACCAAACCTAATATATGCATATGAGGAGTTTCCGGAATTGTTGTTCGTTGTTTCCGGCCTCATTTAAACTTGACTAGATAGGTAGTTTTCATTTGCTTCACCCTCTTGCCATGTTTAACAACATTTAATATTGTTGGGTACATAAACGAGATCGAACTAAATAATTGATGTGGTGTTTTGTCAATATGCAACTCCGTTGCATAATGAGCTCCACTTAATTTGTAGGATTGTTTGTGCACTTTGCCTTGTCATGCTTTATTAAACTGGACATGCATCATAATTGTTTGTGCATCATGTCATGCTTATGTGGTGGTTGTTTACTATGTTGTTTGCTTCTTTCCGGTGTGCTTCTTCGGGTTGTTTCCGGTAACGTCGCGTTTGTGAGGATCCGTTCGACTACGTCCGTTTGTCTTCGTCATGGACTCGTTCTTCTTCCTTGCGGGATTTCAGGCAAGATGATCATACCCTCGAAATCACTTCTATCTTTGCTTGCTAGTTGCTCGCTCTTTTGCTATGCCAATGCTATGATGCCTACCATTTGCTTGCCAGCCTCCCAATTGCCATGTTGAACCTCTAACCCACCTTGTCCTAGCAAACCATTGATTGGCTATGTTACCGCTTTGCTCAGCCCCTCTCATAGCGTTGCTAGTTGCAGGTGAAGATTGGAGACCGTTCCTTGTCAGGACATTTATTTACTTGTTGGGATATCACAATATATCTTATTTAATTAATGCATCTATATACTTGGTAAAGGGTGGAAGGCTCGGCCTTATGCCTGGTGTTTTGTTCCACTCTTGCCGCCCTAGTTTCCGTCATATCGGTGTTATGTTCCCGGATTTTGCGTTCCTTACGCGGTTGGGCTATTATGGGAACCCCTTGACAGTTCGCCTTAAGTAAAGCTTTTCCAGCAATGCCCAACATTGGTGTTACCATTTGCCACCTAGCCTTTTTCCCTTGGGAGTCGCGCATCCCGAGGGTCATCTTTATTTTTAACCCCCCCGGGGCCAGTGCTTGTCTAAGCGTTGGTCCAAACTAGAGCCCCTTGCAGCGCCACCTCGGGGAAACTCGAGGGCTGGTTTTAGTTGTACGGATTGCTTATCCGGTGTTGCCCTGAGAACGAGATATGTGCAGCTCCCATCAGGATGTCGGCACATCGGGCGGTGTTGCTGGTTTAGTTTTACCCTGTCGAAATGTCTTGTTGTACCGGGATACCGAGTCTGATCGGAACGTCTCGGGTGGAGGTCTATTCCTTCGTTGACCGTGAGAGCTTGTGATGGGCTAAGTTGGGACACCCCTGCAGGGATTTGAACTTTCGAAAGCCGTGCCCGCGGTTATGGGCAGATGGGAATTTGTTAATGTCCGGTTGTAGAAAACCTGAAGTCGACCTTAATTAAAATGAATCAACCGCGTGTGTAACCGTGATGGTCTCTTTCCGGCGGAGTCCGGGAAGTGAACACGGTTGTTGGAGTTATGCTTGACGTAGGTAGTCCAGGATCACTTCTTGATCATACCTTTATCGACCGTGCTTTGCCTTCTCTTCTCGCTCTCATTTGCGTATGTTAGCCACCATATATGCTAGTCGCTTGCTGCAGCTCCACCTCATACCTTTACCTTACCCTTAAGCTTAAATAGTCTTGATCGCGAGGGTGCGAGATTGCTGAGTCCCTGTGGCTCACAGATACTTCCAAAACTAGCTTGCAGGTGCCGATGAGTCCGTGCAGATGACGCAACCAAGCTCAGGAGGAGCTCGATGAAGATCTTGTCCTTTGTGTTGTTTCGTTCTAGTTGATCAGTAGTGGAGCCCAGTTGGGGTCGATCGGGGACCTTTGTCGCATTTGGGGTTCTTCTTTTATTTTGGTTCCGTAGTCGGACCATGAGTGTATTTGATTGATGTAATGTTTATTCATGTAATTGTGTGAAGTGGCGATTGTAAGCCAACTATGTATCTCTTTCCCTTATGTATTATATGGGTTGTGTGAAGATTACCTCACTTGCGACATATGCCTTCAATGCGATTATGCCTCTAAGTCGTGCCTCGACACGTGGGAGCTATAGTCGCATCGAGGGTGTTACATAGGGATTCTCTATCGTTTTTGCTTTGACCTATAGATAAATCGCAAAATCAAACTACCATGGCACATACAATATTTCAGTTTCCATGGCACCTACAACAGAAGTGCCGTGGCACCTATATATTGTATTTACCTATGGTCTAATAAAATAATTCTACCATGGCTTTTGACATTTTTTTCTTTGTTGTGATGTTCTTATGTTTTCTCCATGGCATTTTTTCAGTGAGCATGGCAATTTAATAGATATAGCATCTGCCATGACAAAGGCATTTTCTGAAATTTCTGTTAGCTATAACATGTCAATTCCATGGCATCTTTTTAGAGATTTTTGTTTATACTATGCTGATGTTAATATTATTTCCCCATGGAATTTTTTAGAGAATTCCTTGGCAATTGTTGTTTAGTAATGTTTCCGGGACAATTTCATAGATTATACTCTAAAGAAGGCAATTCTTTTGGTAAAGCGAGATGGCACACTTTAAACATTTGAATTGGTATTTTTCTGAAATTTCTGTTATCTAGAACACGCCAGTTTTGTCGAAATTCCTGGTTTTTGTATTTTTTTGTAGAAGCTTGGCATTTTCATTTTAAAAAGCATGGCATTTTTTTGTAAGAGCATGACATTTTTTGTACAAGCATGGCATTTTTTATTTTGAAGAGCATGTCATTTTCATTTTAAAGAGCATGGCGTTTTTCATTGTAGAAGCATGACATTTTTTAGCATAAAGAGCTCGGCATTTTTTTTATTTCGAAGAGCTTGCCATTTTCATTTGAGAGCATGGTATTTAATTGCAAAAGCCACAAATGGCATGATTTTAAGCCCACCACTGGTAAGTTGCTAGATTACCGGTGCTTACCATTGGCAGGCGCTAAAGTGCACCAATCACTAATGTTACCCCAAAGTGTTTTCCAGCAGTGAATATATGAAGGATGACACTTACTCATTCATATCCAAGTACACATTCCAGAAATAGCACTTTTGATAAATCTGTTCTTCTGCTTGTTTGGGACCTTTGAATCTCACAAAAAGAGATAATGATTGCATATTCAACGTAGCAATCAAGCAAGTTTCATCATCCATGTGAAAGATGTGAATAATTGATCAATTGTTACTTTAAACTTTTTCGGAAAAAAAGCTTGTTACTTTAAACTAAGGCTGAAGCATCACACGGTAAAGAACCATAGATAACTGCCCTTAAGCAGTACGAATCTCCCCAGCCTACAGACCTATAACATACAAACTTTTCCTAATCTTTAAGTTGTCCAATGGCTCAACTTGAATGTATGATGTAGTTTGGCCGGGTTTGCTACATCCTAATCTTTAAGGTGATGCTACATCCAAATAAATATGTGACTACAGATTTGCTACACTTTTTTTTGCAGGGAGATTTGCTACACTTTAATTTGGGATACAGACAACATATGCTCTTTGATTACTGTTGTTCTGCAAAAATTACGTCAAAGAAGCTCAACTACTCAACACCTCAAAATCTAAAACTAAAAAAGAAACTTCTATATAGTATCGGATCCGGATATGTGCACGTAGATCGTGTGCTTAGTTTCCAGGGAGCACACATTGCAAGCAACAGACCTGACAAAATTGAACTTTACATCAGCATTTTTTTTGGCAATTTACAGCAGCATTCTGCCCTTGGGGCACACCATATCAACTGCCATAGAGTATGAACTAGAAAATAGTGAAAGATAGCCATGAACAGATGATCACATAATATGCATTCAAAGGGTCACAAGTCCATCGAGTCAAAGAGGCCATCAGCATTCAGCAAGGTATACCAGCCAACTTACGACAAAGTGCACATTAACTGTTCAGCGACTTCGCTGGATATCAAAACTCACACGCAAACTTGACAGTTTGCGTCTGGTAAGAATCCGTGACACAATGAAACCTTCAGCATCAAACTCTAGATGTTCAGAAGCTACATTGCAACATTACCAGTCACCAAAAGAGAGCAGAGCAAATGCTAGCATTGTTCACCTAGTTCATATGTTAAAAGAACAGGGGCTTCTCCTCGCTCATCATGAATGAAGCACATCATGCTAGTGGCTAATGCATGCATCACTACGGCTGCGGCGTTATCTTCACATGAACTCGAATATGGAGTTTGTCATCAATGAAGAAGGGGCTATCGTCAGGAATGACCTCTGACCAAGGAACACTGCATCCAAAACCTTGCGTACAACCGGTGGTGGTGGTGCGCCTCCACAAGGTGGTGAACTCCAGCGACGGTGTTGTTTTTACCTCAATATCATAATCTACTGTCCCCCTTACTAGGCCCTTGTCTTCTAGCTTCTGTATTATGAGGACAAAAGAGTTGGACGGCTCCATTCTACGGTGTGCTGAGAGAAAGAAACCATGCCCCGCACAATAGAATGGTGGCGAGCGCATCGATCCTGATGGGAAGCTCCCAAAGCAGTGCTCACGCTTTAGACTGAAGTTAATTATACAAGACGGCTGATCAATTAGGATCACATTGGTCATGCTACGCCGTAGTGGCACCATTGGAAGTAAACTTGAACTTAAAATCTCGCGTCTTTGTTCTGAATTTGGGTACTGCAAGTCGGCCCACCTGAGCACAAAGTCATAGACGGATTTTTCAGATGCAACCCCAGGGAGATTCCGTGATAAGATGGCCACAATCCCAGCGAGGGGAATCCTCATCAGTTCATCTTGGAATCTGAAATGCAACAAAACCATGCAATGCTCGATATAATGATTTTGTGACAACAATATCCACATGTTCACTGATAAAGGAAAAAAGGGGGTATCTCAATTCGATGGGGGTTACTTACTTTGTTGACAGGAATTTCTTGTATCTTTTAGCAAGGAATTTCTTGGCTGCCTCTGACAGGTCAGCTGCCATTGAAATGGAACATGGGAGATCTAGGCACCTCACTGCGGATTCTAGGGTCATAGGCAGGCCTATGAGCCGCTGACCGCAAAGCTTGATGCACGAAACGACATCAAATTTGTCAGCAGCCATCAAGATATCAACCAGAAGAGTGGACTCAGTTGTTGGTGTCAACCTTCCATTGTACATAAACCGTAAAAGCTCCATAAAGGCATTTTCCTCTGTTCCAAGTAAGGAATGAAAGCAAGGAGACATAAGAACAGTCCAATATATCACAATCAGTAACAGTTAAGTAAAGGAGTACAAAAGGAAAGGGATAGCTATTGTTTTAGTGGTATGCTTCAGTCTAGCGAAATAGAGATTTGATTCGTTAGACTTCGGTAAACAGTTTAATTCCTAATTTTAATGTGCATGGCTAAATCCCTTATGCATGAAAAGTATTAATCCCTAGAAGTTAGGATCTCCACAGCATCCTTCCTATAAAGAGCTACTACTCTATCTTTATATAAACGGTGAGCTACTCCGTATATGCTTAGTTTGCACAATTGGATGGTCTCTCCTCTGTATGTTTATTGGCCAGAAACTGGAACATATTGTACTCGTATGTATTCATAATTTTTTGAGACGATTTTATACAACTTTGTACACCAATATAGATGTAGTAAAATGCATGCAGATGAATAAGAATCCTTAAATAGAGGAGATTCCCTAAATAGAGGAGAAACCTTAATTAGAGGAGACAGCTTTCTATTCGGTCTATTTCTCCTCTTGCATGTTGTGCCGTGAGAATTAGCAAGCTCGTACACGTTAAAATTATCAAGTCCTTGATGACATATAAAAGTAAGACTGCAATTCCCTTTGCAACTGAAGGGTGTGCTTTAATCTCAGCCACTATCTGCATCGAAAGTCCAGTGAGTTTGAATAATCAATTGAGGAAACTTGTCATGCACAAGAAAATCCATTTGGTAGGCAAATTCTGTAGGGGAAATGAGAATAGCCAATTCATTATCAAAGTAGAAAGTTGTGGCACGAAACTCCAAAACAAGCCTCTCTACAATAATCACATTTCTTGAATAAATAAATAATAAATAATACAATCACAATAGCAAACTAGAGTCATCAGTTATAATAAGACAAGGAAGAGTACAGCGTACACTTGAGTTACCTGAATCAGCAATTCTAACTGTTGACTGCCTCTGACCAGATTCTTTCATGCCATTTGAGAAAAGCTAAGAAGCACGAAGCTTATAAGAAATACGAGTCAACTGATTATAGACCAAATGCATTTCAGAAGATCATCAGAATCACCTTGAAAAAGAAAGAACTTTTTGCGGCGAGAATCACTGAACTGATATGTACAGTCTTGACTCGTAAAACTGGTGTATTACCTTCTCCATCCTCACCTGCGAAATACAGGTCAGATAAATCTAGAGGAACATGCAAAACTAGGGGAGAAGAAGGCACATAAGATAATTACTAGACGAGAATTTTGCTTTTAAAAATGTCTGGAATATCATGTTCGCTGTGTGTCAGATTCATTGAATCAACCCTTTAGATAGGCGGGAAAACTTTAACATCATGAAAACAGGATATTCACTGAGTTGCATCAAGCCTAATAAGCATGCTAGAGCATCATGAATGTTACCCCCAGGATTCTATTAGAATTTTCCATGAATGCACTCAATTAACAAAGGTAAAAGACGAGACATTACTAGAATCGCCCTTTTTGCCGAGTTTCAAAGAAACTCGGCAGAGCCCATATTAAACTCGGTGAAATCTTCACTGAGTGCCGACCTAGGCGCTCTGTATTCGGCTGGACGGGGCCCGGCAATCATTAATACTGCCGAGTTCTTTCTATCACGAACTCAGTCAATATTTAAACATTATTTGTCGAGTTCCTGTTAGAAAAAACTCGGCGAACTACACTGTCTAGGCCACAGTTATATGGCCGGCAAACATTATGTTGCTCGTATTTACTAATAGGCAGCCAAGTTCATCAGCGGATCATACTATTACAGTACCAACATGCCAGTGTATACTATAGTCCACATGTGTTCGTACTAATTAAAAGTGTTTATCAGTATGCTAATTTTGACATTAGATGCTTCAACACAACAAAACAGAAATAGAGGTGAACCAGAAACAGAACACAGACTAATGGTGACCTCAAATTTGGAACAGTAAGCAGAATTATGGGGTGTTCTAGGGACTTGGGGAGCTCCTCCCTTCACACCTCCTCACTACATATATCAAGGGTGACACCTGCTCATATAATCATGAAAAAACATACCAGGAGAACTTTGAACAACTCGAGATCCAAAACTAAAGACCTAATCGGTTGTATTTAGGATAACATTGTACCTCCTTGCCCATTTCTAAAAAAATATAAGGCAGAAAAGAGAAAATCCACCACAAATCCAGATCCTAATGGCGTGAAAGAAGATAAATTTACATCCATGAGGGAGAAATTGCACAGCGAAAGGAAGGCGCATAACGATATAATCGATCGACACTTTGATGCAGGCACCTTCACGGCGATGGAGCTTTTACGGTTTATGTACTGCGAATATTCTAATGGCTAGAATCTACTGCGAATATTCTAATGGCTAATGGTACTACTGTGCCTGTACGTACGCACCTTCACGGCGGCGCTTCCGGCCAGCGCCGACGACCTCTATCCGCAGGACCCTGTCGGAGAAGGCCTCGTTGTCGAAGGCGAACTCGAAGCCCGCGTCCACCTCCGCCTCCCCCGCCGTCTCCGGCACCGGCGCCGCCCCCGATGACGCGTCGCCTCCGGCCATGCGCGTGCGTAGCCGCCTCCGCCACCCCTGCCCTCTGGGAGCGCCGGTGGCCGTACCCTAGCTAGCTGGCACGGCGGCGGAGGAAGAAGGGACAGGCGAGGCGACTCGAATAACGAGGCGGTGCGCCGGTGTGGGGTTGGTCTTTCGCACGAAGGGGCCAAGGTTCAAACGAAATTTTCACCAAGTCTCTGAAAGTTTGGTGGGTACCAAAATGTTTGTAAGCTCGAAATTTCGGGACAGAATCAAATCAAATTCAAATTCAGCGAAGATCCATCAAAACTAAGTGAATTTAATAGATCGACTTTCAAAAGGGTTTGTTCAAACTTTCGGAATTCGGATATTTTGATAAGGTCTACACTTTTGTCTGTCACTAAAATTTAAACCTTCGAAATATCCAGTGACCTCGATTTTTCTTCTGGATTTTAGGGTAACACAAGAAGTACATATGAATACATGGTATGCGAAAATGTTACTTCCTCCGTTCTCATATTACAATGCACATTGGTTTTCACAAAAGTCACAAATCACAAACTTTAACTAAGCATATAACATATGAAAATATATTTCATAATAAATTCAGTGACGATCGGCTACAACTAAGTAAATTTTAATAGATTGAATTCTGAAAGAATTTTTTTTTCAAACTTTCGGAGTTTGATATTTTGGTAAGGTCTAAATTTTTGTCTGTTACTAAAGTTTAAACCTTCGCCAGTGAGCTTGATTTTTCTTTTGGATTTTAGGGTAACAAGAAGTACATGTGAATACATGATACGTGAAAATGCCCCTCCCGTCTCATAGTATATATTGGTCTTCACAAAAGTCAAACTTCTCAAACTTTAGCCAAATTTATACACACAAAAAATTATCTATATCTACAATAAGTCAATAACAAATACTCTCTCCGTCTGAAAATAATTGTCGAAAAAATGGATAAAAATAAATGTATCTAGTATACGTCTATATACATCCATTTCTCCGACAAGTATTTCGGGAAGGAGAGACTATATACTATGTGAAAATAGATTTCATGATGAATCTAATGATATTGATTTGGTAGTTGGATGTTGATAATCCTTTCTATAAAATTAAGTTTCATTTTAGAAAATCTAAAACACACTATATTTCGGTACGAAGAGAGTATTGTACAAGCACTTGGGAGTCTAGGTTAACCACTTCCCACGCGCCATCGGTTGATGCCCATCCCGCATGGACCTTGGCACACCAGTTGGATCCTTCGCTGAGAGCACTCGTGCTAGTCTTAGCGGGAGTTTTGTTGCCCACATGTCTAGAGCCAAACTTCCACGTGAGACAATGCCACCACATCCCTTGAATCTTGTGCACGAGAAGCACTCAGAGCTCTTGCCTTCATTTGGAAGGAGGGCCCACTACCACCACAATAACGACCGAAGACAATGGTGGCCAGAAGGACCGCATGGGGAGGGGAGCCCTTATCGGTGGTAAGGTTAGGGTTCTCTGGTCACCCAAAGAGAGCGACACAGGAGCTCGGGGTTCTCAATGAAATGTTAGTTTTTCTGCAACACTAACTTAATTTGAGGTGACAAGGTCGCAACAAGGTCGAGATCTATGGTTCCCTTCCATTCCAAGACATGCTTAACTCCAAGGCCAACATGCAACATAAACATCACTCTCGAATAGCAATTGCTCGTGCAACAGTCACCCATTGGATCAACAAGCATTAACCATTTGAATTTGGCAACATCTTGCCATTAATCTAGGCTCACCAAGATGGTCGTAAGTGTGCCATTTCGGTTTTGATTTAAATGATAAAGAATCAATTAAGGTATTGACATTGGCTACTAAAGGGTGAAGGCAATGAGACGAGTCAATCAAGTGTCAAATCTGGAGAGAAGAAGTTGAGAGTGCACAAGGTAAAAAATGCCATTACTTGAAACAGAATCACAACTGAGGCGCTCATTTATTTTATCGATTTGGAAAAAGAAGAATTCGCAAAATTTGAGTGCACAAGAGTTGAAAAGGAGACATGGCATGGGTTCCCAAAGAAAGTACTCAAAACAAGAATGACGTGCAAGCTTTCATTGCAAAAAGTGTGGCAAATATGAAGAAAGAAAAGAGTGGAAACTATGAATAACTAAGCCGAAGGTTTGCATCTACACATCAAAATCTTTGGTTCACACATCATCCATATTCTTCAACTATGTTATTGATGCCTATGCCATGGAATTCATCTTCAGGTATTATTAGTTACTCTCCGTGGCTTATTTAGATCCATGGAAGCAATATAATTTCATACATCATGAGAGCAAATCACTATACATTCGATTAGCTGCACATTTGTTGCTAATCTAAATGGCTGATACATGATTATCGCCCTAAGAGTAGAGATGCCCGATATATACTTATCACCCTAAGAACATGCAAAATGAACGATCAAGTGTGGAGATAGTTCTTAGAACAAACTCTGTGAAAGTTATTTCGGCACACAGTCTTTGCCAAAAAACAGAGAGGATGTGTTGAAACCAGTTTTTGGCATGACAAAAAAGAAAATTAAGATGACCTCAAAGGAAAAAAGATTTCAACATGAGAAATCTTTGTATCGTCACAATGGGGAACTTTGATGTTTGGGTAATCTCCATCCAAGGTTGTATGCAACCTTAAGGGCCAAAACGGTGTGTGCTGAAAACTAGGGGTACAACATTGTTTACCATTTTGCATGCCACAATTCACCCCAAAGATGACCTTAGAATGAAAAGTGTACAATGGGAAAATTGTTCCTCTCGTTGAGTTGACCAAATGTTCTTTTGGGATCATCTTCATCCAAGTCATATGCAACTTGCACGAGTTATCTGAGGAAGCTACTTTATACATGTTGAGTTTGGAAGTTTCAGGCATAACTTTTAGGAGGTTTCGGGCTAAACAGAGACATTGCACCCAGTGCGCGCAGAAAATAGGGGTTTCAATATTCTTTTACACATTTGCGGGAGCAAATGCACCCTCAAGACGACCTCAGATGGAAAAGTTCTCAACATAAGAACTCTTCGTATTTTCAATACAAAATAAGTTTGCTTTTTGGACTATCTCGATCCAGCATCATATGTGACCTGCAAAATTGGCACAACATGGCTACTTTATACATGTTGAGCCCGGAAGTTCCAGTCCTGCAAATCTGAGTTAGGGTTAAAATTGACGTTTTAGATGCGTTTGAGTCCTTTTTTGTATGTGAAGTCCAGCCATGTCATATATAGATGAGAGGTGATGTACGATTGAACATCACACAATCAATCAATCCATCCATCACTTTTACCTTTACCTTTTCTTTCTCCCTTGTTCCTTTTTTTACCTCATTCTTTGTTCTTTCTTCGTGTTGGAGGGTAGCGATCCACGAGGCCCTAGGGGTGATTAGGTAGACCTAGGGCAGCCGATAGCTGCCCCGCCCTAATAGAGTCCTTCTCGTGTGTGTGGTGTTTTGGGTCCTCATAATTTGAAGATAGCATTCTCTGTAATAGTTTTGAGATAGAATGAGAGTAATAGATGAATCTGTCAGTAAAAGAGTTCGACTTAAGTAGTGGAGAGATTCCATATGCATCATGTGAATCAATGTTCTTTCTTTCATTAATTCACATAGAAGTGAGACTGACGTTGCAAAGGGGAATAAGTTGAGAAACATTGTAAGTAACCACTCACGTAGGACGGGTCAGGATGCATAACGGGCTTCGGCACTGCCAAATACTTCCCTTAAGTACATGGGTTTCATGTGAATTATTGATTAGATTACGATATTCTTATAATTAGCGCTCGAGTTCTTTATGACTAATGTGAGTTTGTGGTCTTACATGCACTTCCACCTATCCATATTTCCTACCCTCTTTGGTATCGTGCATTTCCCACTCTCACCTCGTGACTTTGTGCATCCTTCGCCGATGCACCCAAACCTCATGGGATGACTTCCTCTTGTTCTCCTACATGTAAACCATCTATCTTCCTCAAAACAGCCATCATACCTACCTATCATAACATTGCTATAGTCATTCCAAGATAAAATGCCATGCAATTTCCAGCCGTCATCATTCATTACATGACTCGAGATATTTATTGTCAGATAGCCTTGCATGATCAAATGATAGCTAGCATGATATTTAGATCATCCATTTTGATATATTTGTTATGCTAGATGGCACATACTGGTACACTGCCAGAGGCATTCATTTAGAGTTATATATATATATATATATATCTATCATGTTTACCATTTTGAGTTACTGAGTTTTAAGTAATTTCGTAGTGTATTTGTATCATCAGAGTGTTCCTCCTATTAGTGAGGATTGCACCATGGAGGTGTCACAAAAAAAAGAAAGTGCCAGAGAGAGAGAGAGAGAGAGAGAGAGAGAGAGCAACACTGCTATTCCTTTTTAGTATACATATATGCTTCTAAGTTGCACCTGGTTTTAGCAGATACCATAAACTGCTTCAAAGTAGCACTACTGCATTTCATACAGAGAGTTCTCATATGCTTCGTGTTCATGTACTAGTTGGGAATTTTCACATTATAAAACTTGGCTTCTATATTCCTAAGACGAGCTTCCTCCAATGTTCTAAGTCTTCGTGAGCAAGCAATTTGGATGCACACCCCACTAGTCCATTTGAAAATCTTTCATACACTTATAGTTGTAGTGCATTCATTGCATGGCAACCCCTACTCTTTGCATTAACAACGATTATAAGGCCTCTTCATTGGCTAATGATTAACCACGTTGATGCAAGACTTCCTTTCATTTTCTGTCTTCTCATAAACCCCCATCATTATTCTCCCTTTTCATTAACTGCAAAGATTCTCACGCTAAAGTTTGCAAGAGTATTGATTGATTGAAAGGGGAGGATCATGTGGTCAACTTATTTGGCTGACACTCTGGGTCGAGTTATGATAAGATGTTTTGATATGATAAAACCTTTGCGTCCAAGCCTCATGATACACCTGACATTCTTTCTAAATCTTATAGTGTTGGTGAGTATGATGTGAAAGC